TCCTTTGTTGTCATTTCAACAATATTCATAATATCTTCACCAGGAGTAGATTCCACATCAGGAAACCACTTTATTTGTTCATCCATAAGCAGCAATTCCTCCTCAAGACTGCAGCAACTCTGTCACATCATCAGGCTCCATTTTTTTTTTTTTTTTTTAGACGGAGTTTCACTCTTGTTGCCCAAGCTGGAGTGCAACCTCCTTCCTCAGCCTCCCAAGTAGCTGGGATTACAGGCATGTACCACCATGCATGGCTAATTTTTTGCATTATGACATCTGTAATTACTTCCTCCATTAAAATAAGAAACCCCTCAAAGTCATCCATGAGGGCTGAAATCAATTTCTTCCAAACTCTCATTAATATTCATATTTTGACCTTCTCCCATGAATCACAAATGTTCTTAATGGCATCTAGAATGGCAAATCCTTTCGAGAAAGTTTTCAATTCACCCGGATTCATCAGAGAAATCACTCTTTGGCAGCTATGGACTTAAAAATGTATTTCTTGGCTGGGTGTGGTGGCTCACGCCTGTAATCCCAGCACTTTGGGAGGCCAAGGCAGGTGGATCATGAGGTCAGGAGATTGAGACTTTCCTGGCCAACATGGTGAAACCTGGTCTTGACTAAAAATACAAAAATTAGCCGGAGGTGGTGGTGTGTACCTGTAATCCCAGCTACTCAGGAGGCTGAGGCAGGAGAATTGCTTGAACCTGGGAGGCGAAGGTTGCAGTGAGCCAAGATCACACCATTGCACTCCAGCCTGGGTGACAGAGCAAGGCTCTGTCTCAAAAAAAAAAAAAAAAAAAAAAAAAAAAAAAAAAAAAAAAAGTAGAGACTAGAGCTTCCTTGTTTTATTCTTGATTTTATGGGAAATATGACAATACTTAAAAGGAAAAACAAACATAACTTTGGAGTCAGAAAGTCTGGGTTGAGTCCTTTCTTTGAGCAACTTTTAGCAGTTTGAATTTAGACTGCTAGCTTCTTTGCTTCTGTTTCTGAATTTATCAAATGCAGTTAGTGGTATACTATCTGATCTAACTGCTTTGTCCTATATATCCTTCAGAAATATCCTCACGCGTGGTGACGTATTGACAGAGCTGGTAGATTCACCAGTATGTGGAAATGCGCCTTTTTTTTTTTTTTTCCGAGACAGAGTTTTGCTCCTATTACCCAGGCTGGAGTGCAATGGCGCGATCTCGGCTCACCGCAACCTCCGCCTCCTGGGTTCAGGCAATTCTCCTGCCTCAGCCTCCTGAGTAGCTGGGATTACAGGCACGCGCCACCATATCCAGCTAATTTTTGTATTTTTAGTAGAGACGGGGTTTCACCATGTTGACCAGGATGGTCTCGATCTCTTGACCTCGTGAGCCACCACGCCGGGCCCTCCTATTTTTATTCCACACTTCAGCCTGCCAGTTTAAGTCTTTCCCAGTTCAGCTCCAAAGCAGCCCGTCTCCCACCACTCAAGGCCATCCAATTCTCATTCTCACAGTTCCTCAAGGCAGAAAGGATCATTCAACTCCATCACCCTTCATCAGCATATATGTATGTTTTAATATATACGTATATTTTAAATGGAGATGGGGTCTCACTATGTTGCCCAGGCTGGTCTAGAACTCCTCGGCTCAAGTGATCCTCCTGCCTCCACATCCCAAAGTGCTGGATTATAGGCTTGAGCCACCACACCAGCCCATCAGCACATCTTTAATTGCACTTTTCACAGTCTTCCTGAAGTAACAAATTTTCATGAACTACCTTTTCTTTTAGACTTGCTTTGCTGAAGGGAGCAAAGACTCCTGTCTTCCATTTCAGTCCTGTCTTACTAGACACTAAATACAGGTAAATTACAGAACGCATTCAATCAGCATCAAGCCCCTCATAGTCTTAACTGGTATCCCTCCTCTCTATAAAATAATATTTTGTTTAAAAAAATGCTGGCTGCAGTAGAGTATGCTTATATTAAGAGTTCTGCAAATCACAGGCTTTGAGACCGAGAGAGGGAGGAAAGGATCGAGGGGGGGGAAATGCTGTTAAGTCCACAAAAATATGGACAACCTCAGAAACCTATCAACAGAAATATACTAACATGGTGTATTTCTTACTTTTGAAGCCCTGAAATTAATTATGCGATTTTGGTTTCCAAATGTCTACAATAAGCAGACATTGTTTTATGATTAGGGCGAGATTACTGCTGCTGCTGCTGCTGATGATGATGATGATTGCAAAAACCAGGCTGCAAACAAGCTGTGCTTCCATTTAAAAGCTCTTCTTTGCTGCCTCGGCAAACAAGGGGTATTCGATGGCAGTTTTTGGTTAGATTCAAATCATAAGAGGCCGGGAGTGGTGGCTCACGCCTGCAATCCCAGGTGGGTGGATCGCGAGGTCAGGAGTTCGAGACCAGCCTGGCCCAAATGGTGAACCCTCGTCTCTACTGAAAATACAAAAATTAGCCGGGCGTGGTGCCGGGCGTCTGTAATCCCAGCTACCTGGGAGGCCGAGCCACGAGAATTGCTTGAACCTGGGAGGCAGAGGTTGCAGTGAGCCAAGATCGAGCCACTGCCCTCCAGCCTGGGCGACAGAGCAGCCAGATTCCGTCTCAACAACAACAACGTTTTAATAAATGAGATCTTTGCTAAGAGTAGAATTAAAAAAGGAAAAAAAAAAGTTTTACATTTCCCTCTGGAAGCCCTGCAGTTTAGGAACAGTGGGGCGGCTGGAGGGCCGCAGGCAGCGGAGGGCCCCGACGCCCCCGGGCCTGCCCCCGGCCCCTGACGCCCCCGGCCCCTGACGCCCCCTGTCCCGCCCCCGGCCCTGACGTCCCCTGTCCCGCCCCGGCCCCTGACGCCCCCTGTCCCGCCCCGGCCCCTGACGTCCCCTGTCCCGCCCCGGCCCCTGACGCCCCCTGTCCCGCCCCCGACCCTGACGCCCCCTGTCCCGCCCCTGGCCCCTGACGCGCCCTGCCCCGCCCCTGGCCCCTGACGCCCCCGGTCCCGCCCCCGGCCCTGACACCCACCCCGTCCCGCCCCCGGTCCCGCCCCCGGCCCTGACGACCCCCCCCCCCGCCACCCCGTCCCGCCCCCGGTACCGCCCCCGGCCCTGACCCCCCCCTCCGTCCCGCCCCCGGCCCTGACGCCCCCTCTGTCCCGCCCCGGCCCTGACGCCCCGGATCCCGCCCCCGATCCCGCTCCCGGCCCTGACGCCCCCGGGCCCGCCCCCGGCCCTGACGCCCCCCCTGTCCCGCCCCCGGCCCTGACACCCCTCCCGTCCCGCCCCCTGTCCCGCCCCCAGCCCTGACCACCCCCCGCCCCGTACAGCCCCCTGTCCCGTCCCCAGCCCTGACACCCACCCCGTCCCGCCCCCGGCCCTGACGACCCCCCGCCCCCCCGTCCCGCCCCCGGTACCGCCCCCGGCCCTGACACCCCCCACCGTCCCGCCCCCGGCCCTGACGCCCCCGATCCCGCCCCCGATCCCGCTCCCGGCTTTGACGCCCCCGGGCCCGCCCCTGGCCCTGACGCCCCCTGTCCCGCCCCCGGTCCCTGACGCCCCTTGTCCCGCCCAGGGCCTCTGACGCCCCCGGGCCCGCTCCAGGCCCTGACGCCCCCTGTCCCGCCACCGGCCCCTGACGCCCCCTGTCCCGACCCCGGCCCCTGACGCCCCCGGGACCACCCCGGCCCTGACACAACCCCCGTCCCGCCCCCGGCCCTGACGACCCCCCCAGTCCCGCCCCCCGGTCCCGCCCCCGGCCCTGACACCCCCCCCCCGTCCCGCCCCCGGCCCTGACGCCCCCGGGCCCGCCCCCGGCCCTGACGACCCCCCCCAGTCCCGCCCTTGGTCCCGCCCCCAGCCCTGACACCCCCCCCCCGTCCCGCCCCCGGTCTCGCCCCCGGCCCTGACGACAACCCCCACCCCCCCCATCCCGCCCTCGGCCCGGCCCCCCCAGTCCCGCCCCCGGCCCTGATGACTCCCCCCCTGTCCTGCCCCCGGTCCCGCACCCGGCCCTGACACCCCACCCGGTCCCGCCCCCGGCCCTGACGACCCCCCCCAGTCCCGCCCCCGGTCCTGCCCCCGGCCCTGATACACCCCCCCCGTCCCGCCCCCGGTCTCGCCCCCGGCCCTGACGACAACCCCCACTCCCCCATCCCGCCCTCGGCCCGGCCCCCCCAGTCCCGCCCCCGGCCCTGATGACTCCCGCCCTGTCCTGCCCCCGGTCCCGCACCCGGCCCTGACACCCCACCCCGTCCCGCCCCCGGTCCCGCCCCCGGCCCGGACGCCCCCCCCGTCCCGCCCCCGGTCCCGCCCCCGGCCCTGACGCCCCCCCCGTCCCGCCCCCGGCCCTGACGACCCCGCCCCCGTCGCGCCCCCGGTCCCGCCCCCCGGCCCTGAAGACCCCCCCCCGTCCCGCCCCCCGGTACCGCCCCCAGCCATGACAACTCCCCCTCTGTCCCGCACCAGCCCCTGACGCACCCTGTCTCGTCCCCGGGCCCTGACGCCCCCTGTCCCGCCCCGGTCCCTGACGCCCCAGGGCCCGCCCCCGGCCTTGACACCCCCCCCCGTCCCGCCCCCAGCCCCTGACTCCCCCCCCGTCACGTCCCCGGCCCCTGACGCCCCGCCCGTCCCGCCCCGACCCCTGACACCACCCCCGTCCCGCCCCCGGCCCCTGACACCCCCCCCGTCCCGCCCCCGGCCCCTGACGCCCCCCTCGTCCCGCCCCCGGCCCTGACACCCACCCCGTCCCGCCCCCGGTCCCACCTCCGGCCCTGACCACCCCCCCCAACGTCCCGCCCCGGTCCCGCCCCCGGCCCTGACGAACCCCCCCCTTCCCGCCCCCGGTACCGCCCCCGGCCCTGACACCACCCCCGTCCCGCCCCCCCCGGTACCGCCCCCGGCCCTGACGACTCCCCCCGTCCCCTCCCCGGTCCCGCCCCCGGCCCTGACGCCCCCCCGTCCCGCCCCCAGGGCTGCGCGCTGTCACTAATTGTCCAGTAGGCCCCGGACCTTGACCAATCGCCCGGGGCCCGGTCGTCATGGCGACGGGGCACGCTAACGCTCCGGGCGGAGCGGGGCGCGATGGCGCAGAACAGGTACGGTCCCGGAGTCCGGATCGGCAACTGGAACGAGGACGCCTGCCTGGAGGAGGTACGGAGGGTGCGGCCCGGCGCCGACCTGCGGCTCAGAAGCTCCGGCCCCGGCCCCAGGTTCAGTCCCTGCTGCGCGCCTGCAGCCTCCTCTCACCCAGCGCACCGTGGATACCCCCGAACCCCTGTTCTCTGCACTCCCACGGAGCCTCACCCGCCCGGCTGCAAGCCCAGGGCTCGCTGGCCTCCACGCCGAGCACCCCGACTTCTCTTTCTGCGGGTTCCTTGGCCTCCTAGAGTCGGGCGCCTTGACTCTCGGGCCCCTGGCCTGTGTGTCCCTCTTAGTCTAGAGCCCCACCAAGTACCCCCTGGTTTTGTTTTTGGTTCTGAGACGGAGTCTCGCTCTTGTTGCCCAGGCTGGGGTGCAACGGCGCCATCGCGGCCCAGGCTGGAGTGCAATGGCACCACCTGGGCTCACCGCAACCTCTGCCTCTCGGTTCCAGCGATTCTCCTGCCTCAGCCTCCTGAGTAGCTGGGATTACAGATACGGGCCACCATACCCGGCTAATTTTTGTATTTCAAGTAGAGACGGGGTTTCTCCATGTTGGTCAGGTTGGTCTCAAACTCTCGACCTCAGGTGATCCACCGCCTCGGCCTCCCAAAGTGCTGGGATTACAGGCGTGAGTCACTGCACCTGGTCCCCGCTGTTTTTTAAGAGTCTTACAGTCAGCCTCAGGCTGCGGGCCAGGTGAGGACACAGGCCCCAGGTAGAAATAATATCCCTCTGCACTCCAACCCTGCCGCTTGCCCTCTTAAATGACCCCGAGCATTGCTTTTACTGACGTTTTGCACTCACTGCCTTGTATTCTCCCAAGGTAGTCTTAACAACGTTCGGAGCCATTCGTGTATGGGTCAGGTTGGGAAGGGGTGGACTTTCTAGCATTAGTTATCACACAGTCAAGGGAAACCTCAGCAGGGGAGACACGGCCTCCAGATGTCACTCAGGATGCAATCGGGCTGGAGTAATTCCTGGTGATGATTCCTTTTGTTTTGCCTTTCTCATTTTTCTAAACATTCTATAATGCAGTAAAAACATTAAAGTAATGCTAAATATGTTCCATCGTTCCCATTATGATCCCATTACTTCTTTGACCTCAAATTTTGCTTTTTCAACTTGGAAGAGCTTCTGACCTCAAAGTTATTAATAACGAACATCTGTATTATTTAGGGCTACTCTTGTTGATTTTCTCTTTAGGAGCTCATGAAAGACTTCTTAGAGAAGAGAGACAAGGGGAAACTCCTCATACAGAGAAGTAGAAGACTGAAAAAGAATCTTTTGAGACCGGTATCTTTAAATTCAAACATTGTTTTCAAAATTCTGTTGAACCTGGTGTGGGTATATGTTAAGCAAGAAAAAATATTCATAACTGAGTTACCATTTGGAAAATAACAGTTTTAAAATTAAAATTTGGAGTGTTTTGAATTCTTCTAAGATTTTGGAAACATAAGGGACGCCTGCCCTAAATCATGTTTACCTGCATTTTGCAAATAAAGGAATAAATGAGTTAATATATAAATAAGTAAATTGCCCCTTAGTTGGCAATTGAGAAATTTTTCAACGAATGTTGAACTTCTAGAATAATGAGTAAATCCTTGTGATTTTCACCAGCTTCATTTGACTTCATTAGGGATTGCTGGGAGTTTTACCTTGGCAAAGGGGAAGGGAAAGGAAGAAGGAGCTAAGGCTTCCAGGGGATCCTAATGAAATCCTGAACAAAAGGGATGCTAGTTTGAGAAGGATCAAAACTGCCTCAGCAGTGAGTGTTGAGGAATTGCATGGTTTATGTAATAAACTACTATTAAAATTGTAGATGCAACTTTCCGTAACTGAAGATGGTTATATTCATTACGGTGACAAAGTGATGCTTGTGAATCCTGATGATCCTGCTGTAGAAGCTGATGTGTTTCTGGGTGGGGACCTGAGCCTGTGTATGACTCCAGATGAAGTTCAGTGCCATCTGAGAGATGACTTAGAGGTGCCCTGTGGCCTGAGTGCCGTTCAAGCCAAGACCCCGATTGCTAGAAACACTTTTATCATTCTGAGGTAAAGAAACTTTAATTTTCATCATAAATACATTTCACCTGTAGCTTCGAGATACCTGGGTATTGGAGCCACTGACTGGAGGGAAAGATTTTGTGAAGATTTTCTGTGATTTTTCATCTTGCTTTGATTACCTCGAGAATTATTGTCAAGGGAACTTTACAACCCCTTTTCACCTTAGACAGCAGGATAATTGTGTTCAATTCAAAATGCTTAAATCATAAATATTAGATCCAGGGAAATCCATATTCTGCCTGGAAGCAAAGTGGGTTTTCCCTATAACATTTTCAAACTCGTTGAGCACATTTGAGTGTTTTCATTGTTCTTAATATGGCTATGTTATTTTTTAACAGCAAAAATATATAGTTTAATACAAGGTAGCACTAGATGGGATTTGCTTTTTTAAAATTAACTGTTCATTAAAAGTGTGCTTGAAGAGATTTTGAAGATGAACAAAGAAATCCTTAGAGAAATAAGAGATACATAATCACACACGGGCCTGTCGGTGGGGCGGGCGGGCTGGGGGAGGGATAGCAGGGGGTGGGGCGATTGGGGAGGGATAACATTAAGAGAAATACCTAATGTAGATGACGGGGCGGGGAGGGGGGGATGGATGCACAAATCACCATGGCATGTGTATGCCTATGTAACAATCCTGCGCGATCTGCACATGCACCCCAGAACCTAAAGTATAATAATTAAAAAAAAAAAAGAGATTCTCCTTCCTCAGCCTCCTGTAATCCTGGGATTATAGGTGTGTGGAAACAAAAAAAAAAATTCTTAGTAATTTGTAGAATAGCAATGTAATCATTGCAAGAATATATAGACCCCGGGCCAGGTGCAGTGGCTCACACCTGTAATCCCAACACTTTGGGAAGCCAAGGTGGGTGGAGTTTGAGACCAGCCTGGCCAACATGTTGAAACCCTGTCTCTACTAAAAATACAAAAAATGAGCCGGGTGTGGTGGCAGGTGCCTGTAATCCTAGCTATTCGTGTCACTGAAGCATGAGAATCACTTGAACCTGGGAGGTGGAGGTGGCAGTGAGCCGAGATTGCACCTCTGAACTCCAGCCTGGGGAAAAAAGAGGGTATTTAGACAGTTCTTCAAGTTCTAATTTAGATTTCTTTTGAATATGTATGTGAAGACAACTAAAAATTGATCACAACGTCTGTTTCCTGAAAGATTAAGAGGGAATTGTATTAAATGTCTATAAATGTGTTACCTTGGTTCTCTCTGAAGATGCCAATGCACTTGGCAGGAATTCCTTAGTGTACATTAGCATGATGCGCTTAGTTTAACTAGAGGCTCACGAAGTGGGGATGCTTTGTGTGCTCCCTATGGTACAGGGCGGGGAGTAGGCTACTAACTGGATTTTAAGACCAAAAGAAAAGATCTTTTATTTAATTATTTAATTCAGTTACAGTATGTGAATATAAGTCATCGAAAAAACTGATTATGAATAAAATTGCATGCATAAAAAATAGTCATGGAATGATTCTCATGCCGAGAGTTCACATTTGCGTTATGTTTATTGTCCGTTGACAGCGTACACGGAGACGCCACTGGTCAAGTCCTCAGATATGGGCAGGACTTTAGCCTGGGGATAACAGGAGGATTTGAAAACAAAATGGTAAGTTATCACTTTGCATATCTCCTTTGGATCAGTCACTTCTCTTGCCCAAAATGGGATCATAACTATCTAATGACGTAGACAGAGAACTCCAGATACATGGGCTCCATCTCTGACTTCACTGTGGTTTCAGCTTGCAGCTTTTCACGGGCAGATTTGGGGCCAAGCCAGTCTTTCCTTTTAACTTCCCAAATTACAAAAAATACATCCCTAAAAGCTAAAGAGTAAGGGAGGAAAACCATTGCTCAGTGTAGCTGGCAGAAAGCAAAAGTTTATACCACTTCCACCTGTCAGTTAAGTGATTGAATTCATTCAGATGGTTACATCTGAAACCTGTCAAATGTCAACCGATGCCAGCAAGGCATATTATCTGACAACTTTTTAATTTAAACTTCTGATGGTTGGATTTTTGTCCAATGTGGGAGTAAGGACAATATAAGATGCTTAAATTTGCGTAAGTCAGGGAGCCTTGGAAATTAGGAAGGATAATAGAACCAGATAGATTTGGGTTTGAACTTCAGGTGTGTACCTATGGGATGGGAATTTGGGTAAGTTATTTAATGTTTTTTGAGCCTGTTTCTCATCTGTAAAATGGTATTAATCTACCTTACTACATGCCAGACAGTGTCGTACATGCTTCACTTTTTTTAACTCTCCTAATCCTCCACACGTGACTTTGAGGTAGGGACTATTTTACCTTAATTTTACTGATGGAGAAACTGAGGTTAAGTGATTTCTGATTTAAGTCATTCAGTAAGTAGCAGAGCTAGTACTATATCACATTTTTTATTGAAGATTCCTTTGCTATATGATGTAGCATTAGTATTATTACTATGGGTACCACTAAGAAAACACAGGATGCAGTGGCTCATGCCTGTAATCTCAGCACTTTGGAAGGCCAAGGCAGGAAGATCACTTGAGGCCAGGAGTTGTAGATCAACCTGGGCGATACAGGGAGACCCCATCTCAACAAAATTTTTTTTAAAAAAAATCAGCCAGGTATGGTGGTGTGTGCATGTAGTGCCAGATACTTGTGAGGCTGAGGTGGAAGGATTGCTTAAACTGGAAGGTAGAAACTAGGGTTTGCACCACTGCACTCCAGCCTGACAGAAAGAGACCCTGTGTCAAAAAAAAAAAAAAAAAAAAAGAAAAGAAAAAAGAAAAAGAAAAAGAAACAGTGCTACCAATTAAACTTTGACACCCCACAGATAGTAAGTTGCAGCCTGATAAATATCGACATTAAAAGAAGAGAGTCAGTTACCATTTCTTAACCAGAGATAGCACCATTAACATTTTGGCTTATTTTTATATTCCTATGTATTTTTTTAAAACTTAGATGAATATACAGATAGATTATTCTTTCTAAAATAGCATTTTTAAAGCTTTTTAAAATGACAATAACATTTAATGAGAACCTAAGATATAATTGTGTGGCGGTATCGTAAGTTACCTAGCCTTTTTCTACCTTTGGGCAGTGGGTTTGGCCCAAGATGTCCCTCTTATATGTGAAGTTCCAGCCTGCATTTGTGTATAAATGCTTGAAGCTTCCCCTCTCAAACTCCAAATTAGGGATTCTACATTTAGGATAGGTTTTTGGGCATAGAATTCCTGAGTCAAAGAATATGAACACATTTAAAAGTATTGATACATATAAAGAGTTATTTCTGTGATGGGCTGTACCAATTTGCACTCTCCGCAACAATAAATAAGAATGATTACTGCTTCTTTGATTATATTAAATATCATAATTTAAAACTTTGCTAATCTGACAAGCAAACAAAATGGAAAGAAAAAAGCGACGCGTAAATGTTGTAGTACTTCTAATTTCTCCTATATTTTAAGTTTGTCCTCTTTCTCTTATCTCTTTCTTTCTCTCTCGATTTTTTTTTTCTCCCTCTCCTCTCTCCTGCAAATCGTCTTGTTTTTTGCCTTTGTATTGATCTGGGTTTATATACCACTGATGACTAAATTTTGTCATATGTGTTGCTAGTATTTCCATTTGCTGCTTGGCTTTTAAGTTGTAGTCGTTCTCATATTATATTCTTGAGTAAAATGTGTCAGCGTTGTTCTTCGTAATCCCTTCCATTGCTTTTAAGTTTTAAAGACTGCTTCAGAGATCTGATAGAAAGAAAAGCTTGAATTAGCTTCTAGATGTTTACGATTTGACTTTTGCTTAAATTTATTATTGGATCCACTTGGGATTTATTTTGATAAAGGGTTTTATGTGAATATCTCATTTTTTTCCCAGATGACTAGTCAGTTATATCTATTATCTCTTGAATAATTCTTCCTCTCTCTGCATATGCGTGACATTTCCCTTAGCGTGGATAGTTACCCACTGCTGAGCTTTCTGTTTGGATACATTAAACTCTAGTTGTCTTATTTTTTTTTTTTTGAGACAGGGTCTCATTCTGTGTCTTAGACTGGAGTACAGTGTCACAAACATGGCTCACTGCAGCCTCCACCTCCCCGGCTCAAGCAATTCTCCTGCCTCAGTCTCCTGAGTAGCGGGGACCACAGGTGCACCCCACTATGCCTGGCTAAATTTTGATTTTGTTTTGTTGTGTAGGGACAGGGTTTTGCCATGTTGGCCAGGCTGGTCTTGAACTCCTGAGTTCAAGTGATCCCCCTTGCCTCTGCCTCCCGAAGTGCTGGAATTACAGGCATGAGCCACTGCGCCCAGCCCAGTTATCTATTTTTATTCTAGGACTGTAGTGTCTTAATTATTAGAGATTTATGATAGGATTCATAGCTCTTTGGCTTGAGAGCTCATAGGGCTTGTCGCTTCTCATTACACTTTGTTGTCTTAATTACGTTAGGAATTAATTTCTCAGTTAAATATAATGGTCATTTTTTCCAAGTCCCTCTGCCCCTGTGGGGAAAAGATTACTTGTTGTTATATTTTGATTGGCATTGTAACATTAACTAAATTCACATATTTAGTAGCTTTACCATATTTATTCTTCTGAGGTGTCTCTCTGTTTATTCTCTCAGCAAAATTTTATATCACCCAGTAAGATTTTGTGGTTTTCTTTACATGTATTTGACAACAATTGTGTTAAGGGTTTTTCCTTGGTATTTTGTATTTTCAGATGCTATTGTAGAGAGGTCTTCTTGATAGAACAAAGATAGAACATTTGATAGTATAAATAATAATTTCTCTTATAAAATATAAGAAGGCTATTGATTTTTATATTCACCTCTGATGAAACCAGTTACTCTTATTAATTCTATAGTTTTTTCAGTTGATTCTCTTATGTTTTCTAGACAGACAGCAATTTAATCTTCAAATGATGACATTTTGTCTCTTCTCCCATTCTTAGACCTCTAATTTGGGTTTCTTGTCTTTGAATTAGCAAGCACTTCTGGGGCATTCATTGGAAGCGTTGGTGAAATAGTGGCTACTGGGTTAGTTCCTGATTTTACTATTGTTTTACTTTAGGTGAACAAAGCAGTTCGTGGTTTGAGACAGATATTATTTACGTCTTTTTTTTTTTTTCCGAAGAGTCAGAGACTCACTCTGTTGCCCAGGCTGGAGTGCAGTTACGCCATCTTGACTGTCTATAGCCTCTGCCTCCGCCTCCCAGGTTCAAGCAATTCTCATGCCTCAGCCTCCCGCATCGCTGGGATTACTGTCGCCCGCCACCACACCTGGCGAATTTTTGTATTTTTAGTAGAGACAGGGTTTCACCATATTGTCTAGACTGATCTTGAACTCCCGACCTCAAGTGATCCTCCTGCCTCGGCCTCCCAAAGTGCTGGGATTACAGGCATGAGCCACTGCACCTGGCCTTATTCGCCTTTTTAAGTTCCGGTTTTCATGTTGCTCTGAAAGGCCTCATCATCCAGAACCAGTGCTGCATCTGGCTTGGGCCCATCTTCCTTTCCCACTCACGCCCGGCTGATTGCCAGGTCCCTGGGCACTGTTCTCCCTTCATACTGCCCTTTAGCCTGTTTCTCACACCCTGTGCAGCCCCTCAGCAGCCCAGGCCCCGCTGTTTTTCCCTGTTAGTCTATCCTGACTTCAGACCATACTAGATGGGGTACTGCCAGGTTGATTTTATTTGTATTTTTAAATTTATTTATTTATTTTTCAGGTTGATCTTTTACAAACACAGGTCTGGTCACTTCTCATCCTCACTGGAGTCAGCAGCGGCTCCCCCATTGCCCTTTGAATGAAGTTCTGGCTGTTTGCTGTGGCATCTAAGGCCCTCTGTAATGCACCCTCTCCCTCTCTGTGGTCACCCCCTCTGGCTTTGCAGCCTCCTCCTCAGAGCCTCTTTTGATCCCCCAGGAAAGCTCTGTGCTCCTACCTCTGCCTCCCCCAGCTCACTGTGAGTCTGCTGGACCTCCCTCACGAGGCAGGTGTATGTAGGTGCTCCCGGTTTCTGTGCTCCGCCACCTCTTGAGGACAGTAACATCTCCACCTTCCCCCTAGTGCTCACAGTACAGCCTTGCATGGGAAAGGTGCTTATTGGAAACCTGTCAGAATATGCAGAAATAACCTCCACACTCAGGGTAGAGCTGAACCAGCAAGAATTAACAAGGAACTAACACTGTGGACTTTTCAGCAGGATGGTGGTAGTTTCTTGGCAAGGTGACACGAAGCCAGATAGCCTACATAATTTTCTAGCATGGACATCAATTCCAGAGGGGTGTGGGTCGCCTTGGAGGCTTACAAATGAATATCAGCTGGAGGATATTGACTTGAAGAATAATCCATTTCATGCGATGAGTTTAATGCAACATCATTTATAATACATAAAATATTAGTCCATGGCTGGGCATGGTCTTTCACACCTGTAAACCCAGCACTTTGGGAGGCCAAGGTGGGAGGACTGCTTGAGCCCAGGAGTTCAAGACCAGCTGGGAAAACAATGGGATCCTATCTCTACAAAAAATAAAAAACAGTAGCTGGGCATGGCCGTGTGCTCCTGCAGTCCCAGCTATTTGGGAGGCGGGAGGATCACTTGAGCCCAGGAGTTGGAGGCTACAGTGAACCGTGATTGCCACTGTGCTCCAGCCTGGGCAACAAAACGAGACCCTGTCTCAAAACAAAAACAAAACAAGACAAAAAACCCATTGATCCAGTTCCTGTACCCTGAAAGGGGAACAGGGGACAGGAAGTAGGGAGGAGAGAGGAAGATTGAGTTTGGTATTCAGAGAAAGGAAAAGTAGTTGGAGATGTGTGTGTGTGTGTATGTGTGTGATTGTGCGTATGTATGTGTGTGATTGTGATTGTGTGATTGTGTGTATGTGTATGATTGTGTGTGTGAGTGTGTATGTGTGATTGTGAGAGTGTGTGATTGTGGGTATGTGATTGTGTATGGTGTGATTGTGTGTATGCGTGTGTGTGATTGTGAATTTGTGTGATTGTGTGTGATTGTATGTGATTGTATATGTGTAATTGTGTGTGATCATGTGTGTATGTGTGATCATGTGTGTATGTGTGATTGTGTGTGTGATCATTGTATGTGTGTGATTGTGTATGTGTGAGAATGTGTGCGATCGTGTGTGTGATTGTGTATGTGTGTGATTGTGTAGGTGTATGATTGTGTGTGTTTGTGTGTATGTGTGATTGTGTATGCGTGATTGTGTATGTGATTGCGTGTATGTGATTGTGTGATTGTGAATTTGTGATTGTGTGTGTATGTGTGATTGTGTCTGTGTGATTGTGTATGTGTGATCATGTGTATATGTGTGATTGTGTGTGTGTATATGTGATCATTGTGTGTATGTGTGTGATTGTGTATGTGTGTGTAGGTGTGTGTGTGTGTGTGTGTGTCTTGGTCTCAGCATGCCAGATGGCATTTCTAAGGTGGAGGAACATTGTGCGTTCTCATACACTCAGTAAGAACAGTGTTTTTGAGAACTGCTTTGAATGTGCTTGCCATCCAGCCAGTCGGCTGCTTCTTTATTCCCCAGCTCTTCACAGAGCTCTGACTTAGTGCATCTGCTTGCTGTCATTTTCAGTTGTATTTATCAAGTGACCACAGGACCCTCCTGAAATCGTCTAAGAGGTCTTGGCTCCAGGAAGTGTACCTAACAGATGAGGTCTCTCACATGAATTGCTGGCAGGCTGCCTTCCCCGACCCCCAGCTACGCCTGGAATACGAAGGCTTCCCCGTCCCGGTGAGTGCAGCGTTGAGAGACGTGAACGCCTGCGCTATGAAATGGGTGCAATTTACTGCTGTCTAGAAAACACAGACTTAGAGCTCACTGCCTTAAGATTTTCTCCCTCTTTTCAGTCTTTTTTATGCCCCCCATTTATAACCTAAGTTTGGAAGGTACTCATTTACCTCATGGCAGCATCCTGCTTTCGAGTTTCTCCACTCTGGCTGCACGTTAGAATCACCTCAGGAGCTTTCTAAGAAATGCTGAGGCCCTGGCCCTGCGCCTGACATCAGGTTAAGAACCACTGATGTGTGATCCTGAGGGTTGTGGCACTGCTTCCTTTGCACTGTTTTCGCTAAGACCTCTGCTAAATACTAATTTTTAAGGAGTTTGAGGACAGGTGTGGGGGCTCAGGCCTACAATCCCAGCACTTTGGGAGGCTAAGGCGGGTGGGTCTCTTGAGGCCAGGAGTTCAAGACCAGCCTGGGCAACATGGCAAAAATTCCTGTCTCTACAAAAAAAAAAAAAAAAAAATACAAAAATTAGCCGGGTGTGGTGGCACACACCTGTGATCCAAGCTACTCAGGTGACTGAGGCACAAGAATCGCTTCCACCCGGGAGGTGGAGGTTGCAGTGAGCCAAGATTGTACCACTGCACTCCAGGGTGACAGAGTGAGACTCTTGTCTCTAAATAAATAAATAAATAAATATTAGCCAGGTGTGTTGGTGAGTGCTGTAGTCCTAGACGCTTGAGAGGCTGAGGTGGAAGGATCAGCCAAGCCTGGGAGGCCGAGGCTGCTGTGAGCTGTGATCATGCCATTGCACTCCAGCCTGATCAACAGTGAGACCCTGTCTCAAAAAAAAAAAAAAAAAAAAAAAGAGAGAGAGTTGAGGGAGTCTTGGAGAAGGAGACAGCAGGGTAGCCACACAGTCTACGCAGTGGTCCTGCAGGACAGCATCATTCTCTCTGTCACCGTGGGACATTTTCTCTTGATGCTGGGACCTGTGGCACTGGAGCCTGAGGCATGGTTCTGATGGGAAGGTGGGGGGCTTTGTGGGCACAGAGTAGTAGACCTCCCTATGCCAAGGGCCAGAGGCTTTCCTGCTCACGAAGCATCCAGCAGACGGAATGGAGACACGTTGGCAGCCACTGCATTGAGTATGTAGTTAGCAGGCGTTGCCAGGGTTCGCTTGCTACTGGCCTGGAAGTGCCCACAGTTGCAGGCCACTGAGTCCACCTGATGTAGCATGCCTGTGCCCCACCTCTGCCACGGGGACCCTGACTTCACAGGTTTCTTCCTCCAAACATGGAGGACATGTATATTATCTACAACGAAACAGGCTTTACAAATTCTCTTTAGCTGTCCGTGGCTAAGCTTGGCTCTTCTGAGAATTGCCTTCTAGTTCCACAATTTAAACTGTCAGTGCCTCAGTTTCCCCATCTAAATTCGGGGTGTTCATAGTACCTACCTCGTGAGGCTTTGTGAAGATAAATGGTTAGTATATTTTAGAGTGCTAATTAGAAACGTGCCTGGCTGATAAAAGACACCCACAAGTGTTTCTTGTTGTCACGACTGTTGTTATATTGCTATTGTTGCTGTTTGTGTTAGAAGCTAATGGAGCAGTCAGTGTTCCAGGCACCAGGAGTTCTCTTTTTTTTTTTTTTTTTTTTTGAGACAGAGTCTCAATTTGTCGCCAGACACCAGGCTGGAGTGCAGTGGCACAATCTCGGCTCACTGCAACCTCCACCTCCCAGATTCAAGCAATTCTCCTGCCTCAGCCTCCTGAGTAGCTGGGACTACAGGCATGCGCCACCATGCCCAGCTAATTTTTGTATATATATATATTTTTTGAGATTGAATTTCACTCTTGTTACCCAGGCTGGAGTGCAATGGCATGATCTCGGCTCACCGCAACCTCTGCCTCCTGGGTTCAAGCAATTCTCCCACCTCAGCCTCCCGAGTAGCTGGGACTACAGGTGTGTGCCACCATGCCCAGCTAATTTTTGTATTTTTAGTAGAGACAGGGTTTCACCATGTTCACCAGAATGGTCTCCATCTCTTGACCTCATGATCCACCCGCCTTGGCTTCCCAAAGTGCTGGGATTATAGGGGTGAGCCACTGCACCCAGCCTAATTTTTTGTATTTTTAGTAGAGACAGGGCTTCACTATGTTGGCCAGGATGGTCTTGATCTCTTGACCTCGTGATCCACCCGCCTCGGCCTCCCAAAGTGCTGGGATTACAGGCGTGAGCCACCGCGCCCGGCCCAGTTCTTTTCCCCATAACTAATTCACCTTACGGCTTGAGGAGAGTCTCCCTGAGCCTCACTGAGACATGGTTACACATCTGCAAATGGGGGACCCCGAACCTATCTGAGCTCCCTTACACATGCCAATGACCTCTGGCTAGAGAGACCTCCAGGAACAACTGTGCTTTAACAGGCTGGGGAGATGACTTGTCGCAGCGAGGGAGGACACACACCATGGGGAAGCGTGTAAGAGGGTGTTAGGATGCTTATAGGATGTGGGCCTTGGTCGGCCGGTGTTGGAGAGAATCCCAAGAAGTGAGGCTTTGCTCTGGATTGGATGCTGTCAGGAAGTGGAGGGTAGTTCTCTGATTGGTTATCTCAATACATCTTCTCTCTGGGGAGGACCAGACTGGAGTGAGGATAAAGCTCTCCTAAGTAAAGAAGCAACAGTCACTCCTATTAGCTGGGAGAGGCGGGTGTTTGCTGTTCTGTGGCTTCCTAAATGTTTGTGTTTGGTGTGTGTTCAGATATGATTATAGAGTGATCTCATTTTTGTTTTGACCCCTCATGATCACAGAGTGGCCTTGTCTGATGTGGACGTTCTGTGAAGCTGACTCTGCTCCCAGGAGAACACTAAGGCCTCCTTGTGTGTGCCAGGCCACCCTCTGGCTGGCGGGGCTGCTTTTTCTTTCTTACACAGCTTTTAACTTACATGAGTCAGGATTTTGAAGTAATATATATTTTTCCTGATTATAAACATATGTTCACTTATGAAAAGTCAGGAAAGCACAAAAATAATATGAAAATTACCAGTAGTTCCATTTTCCAGAGAAGCCATTGCTTATTTCTTTTTACAAGACAGGACATCATGAAGATACTTCTCTTTTTTTTCCTGTTGAATGACACCATTGCTTCTATCTTGTGTGTCAAAGATCTCCAATATAACTTTGAGGGATTATTTCATTATACAGTTATCTACAATAATGTATTTAATTCATCCAATATGGTTTGGCTTCTACCTTTTTCTGTGTCTGTGTGTATATAAATATATCTACAGTCATGTGCCCTTCAACAATGGGGATACATTCTGAGAAATGCATTAGACAGTCGTGGTCACCCTGGCAATGATTTTGTCGTTGTGTGGACATTGTGAAAGGAAAATCAATCTTGGGATCTAAACTCACTCCGTCAAAGAAAAAGTCAGGCTGGGAATGGGGTCATGCAAACTGGCCTCCCATTTTGCTCTGAAGTAGGATAGCTACAAAGATTTTTTGTAAAGCTACATGTATCCCTCACAATTTTCCCACAAGGAAATTCCTTGCGAGCCCCAAGATCCCTACCCTAAAACAGTGAGGTGGACTGTCACCCTGCCCATGTGAAGCGATAGCTTGTCTTCACAGTAGGGGACAAAGGACAGAACTAAAGTCATCCTTCCGCTCACTTGAGACAAAGGCGTGTATAAACGTTCCCTCTGCCCCATGTTTATTTCGTCTTATGTGAAAAGGCAGGTTCACTGAGCACAAGGTGAATGTGTGACTGTTCCTCTACTACGCTCTCACGTAAAACGTGCGTTTGGTGAACACTGACAGGAAACTCAAAAGAACGCAACTGCTTGCCTCTTTTATTTACCCTCCTTTTTTTGGGTCATTATTGTTATTGTTTTTTCTTTCTTCCTCGTTCCCGCTAACCCACTCTTTTCCCTTTAAATATTCGGGTCCCCAGGCCCTCTTCAGGAAAAAGCATGGACCAAAGGTTTTTCCTGTTGGCGTGTGTTCTTTTTGCCAGGTGTGTCCTTGACCTCAGCAAATAAACCTCTCACAATGATTGAGACTTGCCTCAACAATTTTATTTGACTTACACATCATAAATGTACTTACACCCGCCTAGATGGTGTCGCCTATTACACACCTAGGCCACTAGTGTCCTGCACTACAAACCTGCACACCGTGTGTTACTGTACTGAATACTACAGGTAACTAACACAGTGTTAAGTGTTTGCGCATCTAAACACAGAAAAGGTACAGTAAAAACAGGGGCTTACGGTCACATATGTGGTTGCATAGGCGGCCCTTTGCTAATGAAATGTGGTGGCATGTGACTGTGAATATATATAATGTTGTTCTATATTGAAAGACATGTATGATTCCAAATTTTTGCTTTTAGGAAAGCAGAGGCCTGCCTTTGGAATGCCAGTAACACATTGTCTTTATCTGTTCCAGGCCAATGCTAAAATTCTCATCAATCACTGTTACACAAATCGGGGCCTGGCAGCCCACCGGCATCTGCTCTTAAGGTATTGTATTTCAGGGTACCACGGAATGCTGTGACTGGGGCTGGGGGCTGTGAATAGAGGCAAGGAAGCTCAGGTGACAGCGTATGGCTGCACATGCTAAAAGCGTCCTTTGCTGACGGCCACATACATCTTTGACAGGGTGAAAAAATCCTATTAGAGTCCCTTCTTTTTTTCTTTTTCTTTTTTTTTCTTTTTTTTTTTTTGAGATGGAGTCTCACTCTGTCACCCAGGCTGAAAGGCAGTGGCACAATCCCGGCTCACTGCAACTTTTGCAGCCAGATTCAAGCGATTCTCCTGCCTCAGCCTCCTGAGTACCTGGGGTTACAGGCGCCTGCTACTACGCCCAGTTAATTTCCGTATTTTCAGTAGAGATGAGTTTTCAGCATGTTGGCCAGGCTGATCTCGAACTCTGCCTGACCTCAGGTGATCCGCCCGCCTTGGCCTCCCAAAGTGCTGGGATTACAGGTGTGAGCCACCGTGCCCAGCCAAGCCCCTTCTTTAATACGAGTCCTTCCCCTACAAGAGGACTTCAGCAATAATGGGATCCTACTGGCCCAATCCTTGCCCAAATAGGGTGCAACCTCCCTGCAGACATGTTCCGTTTTAGAGATCCCCTGGGGCTTTATCTAGCAATCTACTTCTTCAGGTGCTTTTGAGATGAAATTGTTAATAACCGCTTACTGAGAGTTGTTACTCAATTTCAAACCACAATTGATTCTCTCTTGCTCCAGCACCTATTTTGGAAAGGAGGCTGAGGTGGTCGCTCACACGTACCTGGATTCACACAGAGTTGAAAAACCAAGTAACCACTGGATGCTGGTTACTGGAAATCCCAGGGATGCCTCGTCCACCATATCGGATCTGCCCAAACCGCCGGCAGAGGACACTAGAGCCATGGAGCAGACCATGGGCCTTGACACGCGGTAACGCGCCAGGTACATGCATGTTTCCTCTGGTCCTGCTCTCATCAAATGTAGCTTCAAAAGAAATTAACAACCTTGGTCACGCCTCAAGCTAGTTTTGAATCGGATATGGGGACTCTCTGAGCACTATAGTAAAATAAAGATTACATTAAGATTATTGAATTTGTGTGGGAGCCTAGGCCTAGAAAAAAAACAGCTCTGGAGAATAAATAGTATTTGAAAGTGACACACAACGGCCTTTGGTTGATAAACAAATTCTGAAGAACTCAGCTTCCTCTGCTTAAACCCTTCATTGTCTACAGGGACAGTGCGCCGCTTTTTAAAGTTATGTCCACGTAATAAAGCTATTGGAACTGTGGTGAATGGTCGGCACCAGTTTCCCTCTTGAATGTACTGAAACAGAAGAAGCTGACGGCTGTGAGCTGTGGCCCTACCTTGGAATTCAACATTTCTGCCTTTGTAAAACATCCTATTTTTATTTCTATCTGTGGTTTGCGAGGTCCGGACCTTTACCTGATCTGTAACCTATTACGTTGTAATGATTTTTAAGCTGCAGAATCTCTGCCTTGTCTTTGAAACTGGCACCTTAGTTGTGGCACTCATGTGGCTAGAAGGTTCCTGCCAGAATAAGTATGTATCCTTCCGTTTATTTGTTCATCTGTTCGTTCTTCGTTGAGTGCCTGTGATGTGTAGGGTATTATAAAGGGATGCAGGCTTTCGCGGCCTTGTAGATACAGGTAAACTATTAGGCTGGTTCACAAATACGCATCCTGAAATGTAGAACATAGGATGTCGATGTGTTTTAAATAGATGCAGTTCCAGGCAATGCAGATTGACCCTCTTCAAGAAGGCAGGCCTTTTCCATCGAGTACCGCAGGATTTAGGGCAGTGGTTCCAGTCTGGCTGTATGTACATTGCATTCACTCTGGGAACTGTAACAGTGACGGATTCGTGGTCTGAGCTCAGAAATTCTGATTGAGTGGTCTAGGGTACTGCCTGGGCATTGGGCTTTGTCAGTGTTCTTTATATGGGTCCCCTGCGCAGCCACAGTGGAGACCCACTATGTTAGGAGGTGGAGGAGGAAGAAGTGATCCCTTAGGGTGGTAAGGGGAGGCTTTCCTCAGCAAGTCTCGCTCTGGCTGCACCTTAGAATCTCCTGAAGAATACTAAAAAAGCCCAAGGCCCAGGCTGCACTCTGGACTGTTTAATCAGAATTTCTGGAGTGGGACATTAAAATAATACAGATACTTGAGCCCACCCCAGAGCTTCTTATTTGATTTGGGGTGAAACTCAGGTATTAGTATTTTTTTTTAAACTCACTAATTTATTTTATTTAAATTTAATTTTATTAAAAAATTTAGAAACATTTTTTGTTTTAATGTTTTGTGGATACGTAGTCGGTGTATATATTATGCGGTTCATGAGATGTTTTGATACAGGCATATGCAATGTGAAGTAAGCACGTCATGGAGAATGGGGTATCCGTTCCCTCAAGCATTTACTCTGTGTTTTACAAACAATCCAATCATACTCTTTTAGTTATTTTTACATGTACAATTAAGTTATTATTGATTATAGTCACCTGTTGTACTATCAAATAATAGGGCTTATTCATTCTTTGTAACTACTTTTTTGTGTGTCCACCAGCCAACCCTACCTTCCTCTCAGGCCCTCAGTACCCTTTCCAGCCAGTGGTAACCATCCTTCTACTCTCTGTGCACATGAGTGTAATTGTTTTGATTTTTAGATCCCACAACCACCAATAAGTGAGAACATGTGATGTAAAAACTTGCTAATTTATTTTAATGCGCAGCCTGGGTTGAGAACCTCTGGCTTAGCTGAGAGCAGAGTTATGTCTGCCTGTGTGTCTCCAAGGGGTGAACCAGGTGGGTTTGGGCTCCAGCTGGGAAAAGACATTCTTTTTTTTGAGACTGTCTCGCTCTGGCGCCCAGGCTCTAGTGCAGTGGCTCGATCTCTGCTCACTGCAACCTCTGACACCCAGGTTCAAGCAATTCTCCTGCCTCAGCCTCCTGAGTACCTGGGATTACAGGCGTGCGCCACCACACCTGGCTAATTTTTGTATTTTTGGTACAGACGGGGTTTCACCATGTTGGTCAGGCTGGTCTCAAACTTCTCACCTCGTGATCTACCTGCCTTGGCCTCCCAAAGTGCTGGGATTACAAGTATGAGCCACTGTGCCAGACTGGAAAGACATTCTGTAACAGTGTGAGCCACCTGCAAGCATCTAAACCAATTTCAGTGCATTCTTGCTCCCACCATAAGATATCCATAGAGCGCTTCAGACAACATCAGGACTCTTGATCCTTTCCTGAGTGATTCTCTGATGGCTTCTTGACTGAACACCGAGAGGTTTCCACCAGATGGAAAGTCTTGACTGTGAGTTGTTTAGGTTCTTGGCATGTTGAACAAAGAACTGGGCAAAGCACACAAACAGAGCAATACAAAATGCACAAAGCAACAAAAGAATGAAGCAACGCCAAAAGCAATAAAAGCACAGATTTATTTAAGTGAAAGTACACTCTACGGAGTGGAAGCTGGCTTGGCCAAGAGGCTAAAGAGCCCCAGTTACAATGTTTTTTAATTAAGCTAGAAGATGTTGGTAACACCCCTAGGTGCCCTTTGGAGGCCTCCGATTGGTTGCGCCTTGTGAAGAACTGGCTTACCACCAATCAGAGGCTGAAGTGGAGACTTGGCCTATGACCAATCAGGGGCTGAAGTGGAGACTTGGCCCATGACCAATCAGAGGCTGAAGTGGAGACTCCGCCTGTAGCCAATTAGAGACAGAAGAAGAAACTTCTGTCTTGTCACAGGCATGAGAATGTGGTCTGTATGCTGTCTGATCTTGCCTAGAACCAAGGAATGGTGCCATATCAAAGGCTCAGTGTTGGTCTCCGCTGCTGACAAATGGGGCACTCAGCTGTGTCCATAGCCAGGTCAGCCTTGGTGAGTGGAGGTCCACGTTGCTGAGCCAATGCCATAACCCTTGGTCACTCTAATTCCCTATTCTATCTCAGTCTTTGCGCCACCTGGAGTTCATGCCACTGACCAAGTTTGCACTCAGGTAATCACCACCTGACTACAGTGACTCCTGGGGGCGTGACTGCCACCTGGCTGGTGGTGATTGTGAAGCACTTCATTTTAATGTACATACACTGAATTCAGAGATGTTAAAATATGAAAAAGTCTGTACTTCTCAGAGTAGATGAAAGACAGTAAATAACTAGAAAGTGCATCACCCCGTGTTATTTACAAATCAGTGCTTCTGCCTTGGGTCTGTTGTGTACCTCGAAATTATAAGGAGCGTTTTATACACATTTTCTTATTTAATTTTCACCACTCTCTGGGGTCAGACCCAGGTCTTGTTCTTTACTGTTTAGCTCCATTTCCTGGAAAATATCTGTTAAGTGAATGAATGAATGAATGAATGAATGAATCAGTCAATCAACAGATGAATGAATCCATAACTTTTACAGAGGAGCCAGACTTAGAGATTTGTTCGGGGACACAGCTCCTAACTGGGGCAGGACCAAGTTAGGTTTTTCTATCCCTTCTTCTGGACAAGGGCCTTCTAATCTCAGCATGCTTCACTATTTTTTTTTTTTTTTGATCCAGATAATTCTTTGTTGTGGTTTCTGTCCTGTGCATTATAAGATGTTCGGCAGCATCTCTGTCCTCTGCCCGCTAGATGAAGTAGCACCTTTCCACTCATGACAATAAAAAGTGTCTCTAGACATTTCTAAAGGTCCCTGGGAGGGCTCTGCTGTTTGAGGACCAATGGTCTAGACCTACTTTAGCTTTTTTTTATTTGCCATTTATAAAGGATGCTATAAAGTGGGTATTTCTCTCTCTCTCTCTCTCTCTCTCTCTCTCTCTCTCTCTCTCTCTCTCTCTCCCCCCTTTCTTCTTTTCTTCTTTCCTTTTTCTGTGTCCTATAGAGATTAGAATATGTGGTGTCTAACATAACTTCCGGGTATATTGGTAATTTGCTTTTAGCATCCGAGCTGGACTTTGAGCGTAGAATTGTGGCAGGTGGAGACTAGCTGTCCAGGACACGGCACTGCACGGACCTGTGTACAGTGACTTTGACACACAGCACCTCTGCAGTGACCTCCCGTGCGGGGCAAAAGATGCTCATTGAGATGTGAAGCGTTTAGGACGCTGTGTATATCATTTTATCCTTGAAATGAGTGTGTGTGTGTGCGTTCGTGCGTGCGTGTGTGTGTGTGTGTGTGTTTTATACTATCCAAAAAAGTTTTTCTCATGTTTTTACCTTTAAAAAATTTCAATCTTTTTATTTTTACACTTCAACCTGACAAAATGTTAGGTTTTTTTCTTTTTTTGAGACAAAACGTTACTTTTTAAATGTATATAACATTTTAGCTTAATGTGTGTGAGTAAAATGTATTAATAGAGTTACATATAAATGTGTGTGTAGCAATGCTCAAAGGGACTGCTTATTGGGAAGGGTGCACAATCACAAATTGTGGAGAGGATCCTGTGTGCTGTGTGCAGTCATTCATTGCACAGAAAATGCCACTGAGTCGTTGTTGCTGCAACGAAGCCCACACGGCTTTGTCCTGAGTCTTGGACAGTGGGCTCCTCCCAGCTCCAAGGTTCACTTTCTTTCAATTGAACACACGTTTATGAATTATTTGACAGAGAGGAAGAAGGTAAGCACCCTGCAAATGGAAGAGAGTGGGAAGAGGAGACCGTCTGTGTGATTACGCACAGGGCATGCTGAGATCCCTGTGAAAGGACCACATTACTTACAGCTGGAGGCCGAGGAAGCCTGCCTTCAGATGACACGTGAGCTACAGAGAACACACGTGGGGAAGGGCATTCCAGGCAAAGGAGACTGCGTTTGCAAAGGGCCAGCACCTCTCCTGGGGAGAAGTGGGGACTGGTAAGGAACGTTCCAAATCGGCTGTCTGCTGGTACACTCGGCACGGCTATACTGGCTTAAAATGCGACAACGCCTCCATCCTGGTTGGAAAACAGCTGCTTGACTCAAGCCCCTGAAGTGCCCCGTGTAACCCTGGCACCTCCCTGGGGACCCTTGGATTTCCCTACAACCAGCAGCTAAAGGGTCAATGTTCCGAAGGCCCAACAGGGGAGCTTGGAAGACCCCACCCCAACCTGGTGCCTGGAGTTTGTTTTATTTGGCTCATGTCCAGTGAGAGTCAGGAAAAACTACAGAGGTGGTTAACTATTTTGAATATCACTCTTGGCTCCGTGTATTAATTACTGAACTTGAATTTGATCTTGAAGGTGATGGTCAGCCTTTGAAAGGCTTTGAGGATGAAAGTGCCACGATTTTACTTTAGAAAGATGATTATGGGCAGGGCGCGGTGGCTCACGCCTGTAATCCCAGCACTTTGGGAGGCCAAGGCGGGCGTATCACGAGGTCAAGAGATCGAGACCAACCTGGCCAACATGGTGAAACCCCGTCTCTACTAAAAAATACAAAAATTAGCTGGGCATGTGGCATGCACCTGTAGTCCCAGCTACTTGGGAGGCTGAGACAGGAGAATTGCTAAAACCCAGGAGGCGGAGGTTGCAGTGAGCCAAGATGACGCCACTGTACTCCAGCCTGGCGACAGAACAAGACTCTGTCGCAGAAAAA